TGGGGGCAGGGGGTGGAAATCGAAAGAATGGTATTTCATGACGTAAAAATTATAGAAAAATTCTAATTTCATTGTCCATAAATAAAATTTTAGAAGAACACAGCCATGCCCATTCATTTACACATTATCAATGCGATTAAACTATGCAATGCAAGGATAGAGTTGAGCAGTTGTGACAGAGACTATATGGCCTGCAAAGCCTAAAATATTTACTATCTGTACAGAAATGTTTGCCTTTTACAGAAAAAGTTTGTCAACTCCAGATCTAAGCCATTAGACCACTTGCATAGTAATAAAGTCTGATGTAACCCTCCTACCTAATTGACATTTTCTTTCTGAAAAAGACAAGTCTCATAAAATTATCTCAAGAACCAAAACCAAAATTAATGGATAATTAGACAATCTGATCCTTATTAAAAAAACTGTAAATCATTGACAAATCTACCATGTCAGTGTCAGAATTGATTTCTTATGAGAAAACAATTTATGCCAAAGAATTTGTCTCTTGCTACTACTTTGCAAAGAGGCCATGATGGTCCATTTTCCCTCTTTTTTCTCTTTTTTTTTTAAGTGCTCTGAAGGATAGCAAATTTATCTTTTCTTTATGAGTAATAGCATCATTGGTGAAAATGACTGTTAAAGAGTGAGCAAGCATGAAACAAATCCCTGCCCAATAAAGTGGTGACTTTGAAAAGGAAATTGCCCTGCTCAAGTGATGGATTCTGTTTCAGCCGTCATGACCCATGTTATGAGAGAGTCCAGGGACCTGGGTTCTGGCCCTTATAGGCAAGGCAGCTGCAAAGCCCCACTGGGAGCGCTCTGTAAATGGCCAAAGGCTGACCCACTGCCCCACCGCCCCTACAGGCACTCAGCATTGAGTCTCCAGAGACTCATCTAGCCTGGAATGCCCCCAGCATCACCCCTCCTCCTCTCTGCTTACCTACCCCCAAAAAGGCCTCATTTGAGTTCCAAATATGGTAATACTCAAGGCTCATAGCCCATACCTTGTATTATTTCTTATCATTTTGTTTGTGTTTTCTCTTTCTCAGGACTGTAAGACCCTCGAGCACAGAAGGCACCCATCATTTAGACATCCTTCAATTAGTGATCCACAATAAATTCCAGTGAAGAGGATGATGATGGTGAAATGGGAAATTGGTAGGATTTTGAACCTTTTTTCTCAAAGAGGAGATGAGATGCTTGAATAATACTTGCTTTTCTCTTTCTGATTCTCAGGAAGGGTTTTCCAGATGACAGGCTGAGATCCGGAGACAATATGAGAATTCTTAGCAGTGTGTTGTTGTTTCTTTATCAGGGGACAATCTATTCCGAGCAAAATGGTGCTGCAAATTGTTCTCTTCTGGACTTTGCTGATGAACACCTTCAAACCAAACAATCTTTGCTGCTCAAGAAAAGAGAAGGTGGAACCATGGAGTTACAGGGGTCCCTACTTTCAGCGTTTGAGGCTTTTTAGATTGTGACCTCAGGCCACAATCAAATTGAGACATCAAATGATTGCTTCTTGGCAGTCACTTGGAAGAAACTTTGTTTTTCCTTGTCTGTAAAGGTAAGTCTGAGATGTTTCTCAGTATCAATTACAGTACATTTAAATGATCTTTTCACCTTTTCTGCAGTCATATGAATGTTGAAATCACACAAATAAATGTTCTCTCAAAACTAGAAGTCTTTGCTTTAACTCTAAATTAAATTTTCAATTTTCCTTTATAGTACTGTTTCAAGATAAAAATGTAGTATTTCAAAAGGAATTTAATATTTTGGAAGAGTCTTAGTCCTAAAACCTAGCAAAATAGATGAGTCTCTTAGCTTTGCCCTCAGAAAGAGTCATAAAATGATTATAATCATTGAGAAAAAATCAAGCTAATTGATACCTCCATCCTGGCTGCACGTAGGGCAATCTGGGAAATATTTTAAAAATACCAACTCCTGGGCTCCACGGCCTAAGAGATTCTCACTTAATTGCCCAGGGATGGGCCTAGGCATGGGTGTGTTTTGGAATCTCCCAAGGTTTTACTGGCCATGTGAAGATCAGACATAAGTACCCTATATACTCTCTATTAGAGCACTAATCACTTTGTCCTGTGATTACTTGTGTGTATGTCTCCCTCTCCTTACAGATGATAAGCTTATGGAGAGCCAGGAGTTGTACCTTATTCATCGTTGCAGCAGACAGAGGTTTGTTAAACTCCAAGTGCCTGCCATGGAGGCACAAATCTCGCAGAGAAAAATCAAGGAAGAACCCTAGGAAGTTTCTTAAGCAAAGGTGGCCAGGCTCTGTGCCATGTGACCCAACAATGTAGACATGGGAGATGAGCCCAAGAATAAGCACCTGACCAACGTCTGCTGAAGTACAGGGTGTCCAGTAACCCATAAGGAGGCCTGACTCAAAAGCTCAGCCCAACTCCAGCACCTGGTTAGTGCCCAGCAGGGCCAATTAGGTCCTTTCACTAAAGGAGTTTAAATGTGAGATCAACAGAAAGTTGAGCAGTTAGTAACAGGAGCAGAAGCCAAGAGATATCCAGAGAAAAACAGTGAGAATGAGGAGCTGAAATACCTTGGCGGCTAAATCGGTTAGTAGGGATGGCAAGCAGATACCTCCTGTTCAGGGGGCAGCTAGATAACCCAGTCACAGAGCCGTATCCTGAATGACCTTCCAGTTCCTGAACTTCAGTCCAGTTTTCATGAGGCCTGGCTCGGTGGCCTTTCCGGAAGGCTTTTCGGAGACACGTGGCTAAGTGGCGGAGATTCCGGTCAGCCTTCCTTCCACAGTAAACTCCAGTTACTTAAGGTAAACTCAGTGGTATCTGTTCTTTGCAACCCCCTAAAGCCTGGTCAGCACAATTCCCAGGGTCTAGCACTTTGCCTGGCACGTAACAAGTGCTGAATCCTTGCAGGTGCGTGGATGGCATGACCATTCCCAGTGAAAAGCCTTCTGAAAGTGAAGGAATCATTCATGGTAAGAACATTGCCTAGGGTCGCCTTCAAATTCCAAAAACAATGCTAAATTAGGATAAATAGATTAAGGTTATTCCACCCTCCCGTTTCCAAATCCATCTACATTTCTACCATAAATATATCAAAGGACATGTCACATTCTGCAGAACTACACTGAGCTACCTAATTTCAGCTAAAGTATGTTTGGATGACTTGATTATCATTCCACTTAATCTTAAATCACAGTAATGTTAGTAAGAACAATTTTCCTCCCACTCTAACTTCACTGACAAACCTCCAAAGTAGCTGATCTTTGACTTTTAAGAAGTTTAATAATACACGATCTTCCCCCATTGCCACACATTTCCCCTGTCTATTGTCTGTATCAGCTACTTGAAGAACACATACTCCCCAACAACCAGATGAGTCATAAAATAAGAGGTACATGGGTGTAAACTGAGCCTGTTTGTGCTTTCCCTGGCCCCAGCTAATAAAATAAAAGAGGTCCCACTAAATTCAGGCCAACGCCTTCCGGAAAGCAGGTTTCTGCTTAGCAAAGATGTACTTTATTTAGTACATTATTTTAAAGGTAGAGCTAACTTCATGCCCTGTGTTAGTGAAATGTATTATGGGTAGAGTCATGTGCAGGGTGTGTAAGGACTTGCCCTCCTCATGTCCTCTA